CGGCCGAGGGAGGATGGGCGGTGGCGAGGGCGGCGGGGAGAGCGCGCGGCGCGGGGAGGACCCGGGGGGGGGGAGGGGGGGACGGTGCAGTGCCGGCGGCGGGGAGGGTGGCGGTGGGGAGGGCGGGGATTGGGAGGTGCAGTGCCGGCGGTGGGGAGGGTGGGAGGCGGGAAGCCGCATGACGGCGGCGGCGGCGGTGGCGGCGGTGTGGCGGGGGCCGGCGGCGAGGGCGGTGGCGTGGCGAGGGCGTGGAGACGAGGGCGGCGGCGGTGGTGTGGCGAGGGCGGTGGCGTGGGTCAGGCGAGGGTGGACGAGACGAGGGCGGCAGCAACGGGCGGCGGCCACGGCGGGGGACGGGGCGGCTGGAGAGTGAGGTGCGATGCAGCCGCGCACGGCATAGGCTGGCCGATGGCAGCGCAGGAAGGCAGGCGGGGCGGATGGGGGGGCGAGCCTCGTTGGCGACGCCGGCGGCGCAGTCCTTCTTCTTCGCCTTGGTCGGTGCCTTGTTCTTCTCCTTCTTGGCCTCGTCGAGCTGCGCCTGGGGCGCGCGGGTGCGGGCGTGAGCGGCGGCGGCGGCGGCGGGCGGCGTCTCTCGGGATGGGGGGAGGGAGAGGTGCGGCGCAGCCACAAAAGGCACAAGGCTGAAGCTCGACGGTGTTGAGGGAGGAGGGGCGGGGCGAGGGAGGGACGGGGGCTCCGCTCCTCAGTCCTCATGTCGGCCTGCTCCTCGGCCTTCTCCTCGTCGGCCGTGGTGAGGAGCGCAAAGGAGTTGGGGCTGGGCCGGTGCTCGCCGGCGGCGGCGTCCGCGTCGGGCTTTGGCTTGGGCGCGTAGGCTAGCGGCAGGAAGCCCTCCGCATCCTGGGTGGGGGGGGGTGGGAGGGGGGGGGGGCGACGGGAGTGGGGGCGGGGCTGGGAGGCGGCGGGGAGGAGGGCAGGGCCAGGGTTCGCAGCTTGCGACCGGCTTGGCGGAAGCCTTGATGAACGTCCGGCGCGAGGGCGGGACGGGCTTGACGTCGTCGCGCGGGAGCGACGCGTACTCCTCCTTGCTGCTCGCCGTGCGGGTCGCGCTGCTGATCGGTGTCGCCATGAAATGCTGGAGGGAGGCTGTGGAGCCTCCGCTGTTTTGCCTCGGCCGAGCTCAGCGCGCGTTGTTTCTTTTTTCACGGCTTCTCAGTAAATCGTGCGAGGCGAGAGCTTGCGTTGTAAAATTATCTTTTCTTTCTTTACTGATGACGCAGTGGCACCTCGGCCGTGCCCGCGCGCGGAAAGTACTCTCGCCCCCACCGCAATCTCCATGCCTCTAGGGTCGCCGCAGGCTCAAACTAAGCCCAAGGGCGCGGCAGCGTGCCTCCCGGCCGCGCGGCAAAGCCCGCTCTAAAGCCCCCTCCCCCCATCCGTGCCCCCTCCCTACCCTCCTACCTCGGCCGGCTTCAGGCGCGGCGCGCGCCTTGGCCTGTACGCGCTTTTCTCTGCATAGGCTATCTATATTCTTTGCATCATATTCTTTCTGGGCCCCCTATATTCTCGAGAATATTCTCGAAACACCTCAATAGGGGTGTTTTTTTTCCTTCGCGGCAACGCGATGGCGGCAAGGCCTCTGCGCGCCCGCCCTCGCCACGCCGAAGACCAACCGACGTCGGACCGCGGTGAGACCGCGCCGCCCCCCGCGCCCGCCCGCGCCCGCAGCGTGAACACATACGCGCGTCCCTCGCCGCACGGAAACATACGCGCCAGCCGCGCAGCAGCCTCACATGCAGCGCCGACCGCATGCTCGCGCCCTGGGCCGCCGACGACCCGGTCGGGCGGGCTGCGCGGCAGCCTCTCTCTCGCCCCGCCCGCCCCGCCCCGCCCACCCGCCGAAGTCTCTGCCTCTCCTCTCCTTCCTCTCCCCCCTCTCCACCCCTCCTCTCCGCTCTCTGCTCTCTGCTCTCCTCTCTCTCCGTCTGTCTGCCTCCTTCCTTCATTCAGCCTCCATTCAGTTCAGCCCAGCAACAACAAAAAACAATCGCATGCGCCCGCTGAACGCACAGGGAAGAAACGTAAACCCAAAGCTCGCATGTCGAATGCGTACGTGCAAAGCTCGAGAGAAAGTACGTGTGGCTTTTGCCGTTTGCTGCCTCCAAGCATTATGTTTGGGATTCGCACCTTGAGCCTCCGTCGGACGGTAAGTATGGATGTCGTAATGGACCCCTTTGGGCAGCCGCCTGCCTCACCTCCCAGAGCTCTGCGGCCGCCAGCCCCCCCCCCCGCGGGCGCCTGCGAGGAGCATGGCTGCCTGGTGTTCGGCATGCCCATCGTGGCGCTTGTCAGTCTGGTGATTGTTGCGGCTGCGATTGGAATCCTGCGGTCCCGGCGCCGCCACAGAGCGACGGAGGGATGGGCAGGGCAGAGCGGACTCGAGCAGATGCCCAAGGATGCCATAACACTGGCGGTGCACGCCCTTCCCGAGACGACGTTCCATGCGGAGGATGGCACGGTTCTCGACGTTTCGGTTCGCACCTCCCGCCGACGGTTTGGTGGTTTCAGCACCATCCATTCGATCACAGGTTCCGCCTGTTGCCTTAGGACTGCCGCCTCTGCCTCGAGGAATACGCCAGTGGGGACAGGCTGCGAAGGCTGCCCTGTGGTCACGGTGTGCCCCCCCCCAACCCCCTCCCCCGCATATTCCCCGCCAGCAGTCGGTTCGGTACCCATCGCCTCATCTCTGTGTATCGCAGTGTACCACAGCGCGTGCATCGACATCTGGCTCGCGGCCAAACGAGACCAGGGCCTCCCACGCGGCCAGCGCGGCTGCCCCGTTTGCAAGGCACGAGCTGCAGAGAGACGGGGAGATGCACCGGCCGGGCAGGAGAGGACTGACACCGGCCCGATGCTCGCAAGGCGATGCCACTGGACGAGGTTGTCCTCAAGGCGGCCGAGGCGGCGGTCGTTGCCGCGCCCCTGCTCCGTGGCAAGCGCGCGCGGCCGTCCCTCTCCGACCAGCGCCAACCATCGACCAGGGCGTCAATCTCTGCAGCCGCGCCCGTCGCTGCGCCCGGGGTGGCGCTGGCGGCGGCGGCGGCGCCAGACGCGCGCCAAGAAGCAGCGGCGCAAGTCGCTCGCTCGCGACTTCGGTGGGTGGCGCGGCAGGTGGCGGTGGCGTGCAGGCACGCGGCGTCGGGGCCGGGAATGCGATTCGTCGATGCGCACCGGCACCAGCTGGCGCGAGCGCGGGTGCCCAATGGCGGTGAGAGAGGCGGCGACGAGCCGGCTCGCGATGGGAGGCCCGCCGCCGACGCGCAGTGAGCGCGTCCTGTCATGCGCAGCATGTGCATGTACACCCCCCCCCTGTGACTTGCTCCGCGTGTGCTTCCATTCAGGCTGCTTCGTGCTTGTCACTTGTGTCGTGAAAGAAAAGACACATCTGCTCTCATGTACATGGAAAACACATAGATCTAAGCGGGGGGGAGAGCGGCGAAGACCAGTCATGTGGGCTCGCGCGTGCTTCCTCGTCTCTGCCCCATCCTCCTGCTGCATGGCGACGCCGCCTTCTCGGGCCAGGGCCTGCGAGAACGACTACACGGCTCCTTGCCGCCCAGTATCTCAACACATGGGTGAATGGGTGACGTGCTGCAGGCTCCAAACTGTCCTCCACAGCCCGCCTGCGGAGCGGTGAGACCAGCTCCAGCCAAAAGGGCAGCATCTGAAGAGAGCAGCGAGGAGGGGTCTCGGATGCTGCCGCCTCAAAAGTAGCCGGGCAGCACCTCCTGCAGCGTCAGCTCGTACTCGAGCGGGACCTGCTCACGGCGCAAGCACAGGCGCGTCAGAGGCGCTCGCGGCGGCGCGCTCGGCGGTGTGGCGTGGAGGCGAGCGCGCACCCCGTCCGGCAGGTCCACCCCCTTAGGTGCGAGAGAGCGGGGGACGAGGAGGCGCCGCTTGCCGCCGGGCCGCATGCCGCGCAGGGCCTCCTCGACGCCATCGCAGACCACGCTCTGGAAGGGCCGCTGGCCCAGCTTGAAGGCGAGCTTCTTGTCTGTTGACGTGTCATACAAGACCTTGCCACCGATCGAGACCTTCGCGTCCACGCCAACCACGTTCCCGGGCTTGGGCGTGTCGCCGGAGCCGAGAAGCAGCTCCGCGTACTGCAGGCCGGAGGGCGTCGTCACCAGCTTCCCGTCGCCCTCCTGCGGCCCCGTGTCGAGTAGCGCGTTCACAATCTCGCGCCCTTCTGTCGCCGCCAGCAGCGCCACGACCGCCAGGCCACCAGCGAGGCCGAAGCGGCGCGATACAAAACCGGTCGCGGAAGCAATCGGGTCCACCAGCCCTACGTTGAAGCCGGCGCCACCTCCCGCACCCTGCTTGTCCGCGACCTGCCTCAGGTCGTAGGAGCTGTCCGCCATCGCCGGGTCGGCGGCCTCCAACTCGGAGACCTCCTTCGGCTCCTGCTGCTGGAGGACGATACGAGAGCGGTGCGGCGCGAAGGCCACGGTTCGAGGTGGCGTGAGCGCAGTCAGACCGAGCGCCGCGGACGCGACGCTGAGCAGGGACATACACACATTTTTTACACAGGCGTCCCGGGGGCCGAAAAAATTTCCGACTCTGGCGAAAATGCACGGGCCCTCAGCGGAGCTGGGAAGAGGACCGCCGCAAGCGGCGTGGCGCGGGTCGGTTGTGCATCCCTCCGGGGGCCCCTCTGCGCCGGGGAGGCGTTGTTGGAGGCTAGGACGCAAGCGTCCGTCGCCCTTTTCAAACTCGGGGCCCACTCCGCTACGCTCCGACCCGAATTTGGAGGGCCTGAAAAGTTTAAGGTGTTGCTGCGCAAAAGGGGTCGGACACAGGGCGCAGCTCATGCTAAGAGCTAGAAGGGGAGCTAGAGAGAACGACTACCCTGTCCCGTTATTGCGTACACCAACACCACAAAGCTCTCTCTCCTGTCCTCACTCACTCCAGGGGGGTCACAACTACTGAGTCCCTCGAGTTGCCGACCGAGATGATATGGTGTGGCTCGCCGCTCTCGAGCCAGCCGAGCAGATGGAAGTGAATCTGCCCCCTCCCCGCCGCTCCCTGGTCCCGGAAGCGACGGGCCCAAGCAAACTCCATCACGTAGTAAAACACATTGATGACGAAATCATCCCGGTGGCGAACGGGATACTTCTCGAAATCATCCCGGTCAAACGGGATACTTCTTCCCCCGCCCGCCTGTTGACGGAATCGATGTCCCGCCCTCGTGGCTGCTCAGAGGCGAGGCCGGCCGTCGGAGAGCCGCAGCCAGCCGCGCCAGCCATTCACACCGTCCCCTCCGCCGTCGCCGCCTCCGCCCTCGCCTCCGCCACCTTCACCGCCGCCTTCGCCTCCGCCCTCACCGCCGCCCCCGTCGCCGCTTCCCCGCCTTCGCCGCCACTGTCACCACCACCGCCCTCACCCCCACCTCCGTCGCCACCTCTTCGCCGCCGCCGCCATCTCCCATTCCTCCCGCACCTCCGCCACCCTCGCCTCTGCCGCCCTCCGCCTCCTTCTCGCCTCCATCTCCTTGTCGCCTCCGCTGCTGTCCGCGTCGCCCTCGCCGCCGCCTCCCTCCGCGCCTCGCCCTCGCCTCCGCTGCCCTCCGCCGCCCTCCGCCTCGCCCTTGCTGCCGCCTCCCTCCGCCTCGCCCTCGCCTCCGTCGCCGCATCCCTCGCCGCCGACGCCCTCGCCGCCGCCACCCTCGCCTCCTCCGCCCTCCCCACCACCGCCAAGCCCGCCTCCATCGTCGCCTCCGCCACCGAGCCCACCCCCACCAAGCCCACCCCCGCCCTCGCCGCCCACGTCAAGCG